AGGCGATACCTTTATAGACTACTAAAGAAATCATACAATCTGCTAGCTTTTGTGGATCAGGTGCCACTTCATCAGGCTTGCATCGGTGTCATGTTGTTAGTGCAAAGAAGGCGTAGTCCCAAAAGTTCATGGCAGATCAATTTTGCCATGCATGTTTCTTAGCTATAAATTAGGAAAGATGCAGGCTGCATTGAAAGTGTGGATTTAAAGTTACAGCTGAGGAAGCTGTTGATTGGGTATCACACGCCAATTCTTTGAACAAGGAAGATCGGGCATTCCCTCATGGCCTTCCTTTGAAACTACAAGTTTCTGTCTGGCTAAGGAACAAGAGTAAAGCTGAAAGGACATTCAGCTACTTTTGTGTATAGATCTGAAAGAAGAGCTTGAAGCTGCACAACAGATGTAACTGGAACTTGGAATTTGGAAGTATGAGTCAAAGTAAGTCTGAAATATAAAACAGGAAATGGAGCATAGAAATATCATAGTGCATAGTGTGGGTGAACTGAAGTGGACTGGAACAGGACATTTTCAGTTAGGTAATTATCAAGCGTTTATTCTGGAAATTATTAACTCAGAAGAAGCAGAGTGGCACCAGTAGTGAGGCATGACGTAGTACAGATAACGGGTTATAATGAAAAGTCTGACTGCTTAATAACCACCAGACTTCACAAAACTCTGACTGATATAACCATCATTCACGTCTGTGCTGCAACTAAAGAAAAGAAAGAATAAATTGGGAAAAAAAGTACCCAGAAGAAGTTGATCACACACCAAAAGAGGATGTACTAATAATCATAAGTAACTGGAACAAAGTAGTAGGGGGGGAAACAGAATTAATACATTTTCAAAGAAGTCATCCTATAAATTAGAAATGAAGCAGGACAGCAGTTCATAGAATTCTGTGAGAGCAGCAATCTGTTAATTAGATATATATATTTCAGGTAACTGAATAGTTTTGCACACAGACGTCACAAAATGACCAATACAGAAATGAAATAGACTATATAATTGGAAGCAGAAACTGGAGAAGATGTTGTCTGCCTTCAAAAACAATATCAGGAATGGATTGGTCATGGAAAGGGGGAGCATTAGGTTATATAGCTGTGACTCAGAAAATAGTCTGACAAATGGGTGTGAAACTTGGCATTATGAGAGAATTGGGTTTGTAGATGGTAATAGAAGTGGTAAAATTGTGAATTTATAGAAATCAAAATTTGATGAATGACTAGCAGTTGCTTGAAGAATATCAGAGGCTGCATTAACGACTGCTCCTTTTATATAAAAACATGCACACACAAACATTATGTTTGCCTGTCTGGTGTGCTTGATTTCTTCTATTCCCCAGAAGCAATTTTTAACTTTAGAACCTCAAAGTTCTTGCCCACAATAGTAGATATGATAATCATCTGAATTGAATTCACCCATTCCTATCCATTTTAGTTCACTGATGCCCAGGATGTCGATGTTTGTTCTTGCCATCTCCTGTTTGACCACATCCAGCATTCTACTTACTATCTGCTTTGAACCCTGTTTTAAATGACAATTTAAATTATACTGTATATCTCTTCCAGTGAGTAGAAGAATCTTCACTCCTTGGCCACTGACATCTATCTGGCACCAAGAAAGTGGTGAAACTGAAATTAAGCACTGTTCCAGAGTTTTGAATTTCTCACCAAATTCCTCTAACTTTGCAGCAGAATTATAGAGATTCACAGAGCAGAATAGTTTCAAGTTCTTTTTCTTCTTCCACATTTCTTCCAACAAGGGGCCCAAAGTGGCTCGCAACATTAAAATCCACACAATTTAGAAACACAGTAAGTTAAATATTAAAAGATAAGTTAAACAATATACAGTGGTGCCTCGGATGACAACGTTAATTCGTTCCGCAAAAATCACTGTCGAACGAAAACGTTGTCATGCAATTTTAAAAAGCCCATAGAAATGCATTAAAACCCAATTAATGTGTTCCTATAGGCTTAAAACTCACCATCCAGCGAAGATTCTCCATAGCGTGGCCATTTTCACTGCCCGTGCAGTGAGGAATCCGTGCCAGAAAACAGCGGGCGGCCATGTTTTTCACCCGGCGGCCATTTTGAAACCGCCGATCAGCTGGCCGAAAATCGTCGCTTTGCTATGATCAGTTACCAAAACAGGGAACCGATCATCGCAAAGCGAAATTCCCCCATAGGGAACATTGTTTTGCAATCGCTTTTGCGATTGCAAAATCTTCAACGTGATGCGATTTCGTCGTCAAATGGAGCGCTCGTAAAGCAAGGCACCACTGTATGATTTAAAATACAATTAAAGGATTAAAACATGGAAACATAAAAAGATTACAATTTCTGCAAAAATGGGATTCAGGGATTCAGTTATAATTGTTAATAGCCTGCCTAAAGATATGGGTCTTTAGCTTTTTTCAAAAGGATAAAAGGGAAGTTCACTCCCTTTTCTTTTTTAACTGGCACTTACAATCTCAATAACTCATTCTGAGGCATTAGTTGGAAACAGCATAAAAACATTTCATTACTTACAGGTGAACAGATCAAACAGCAAACTAAGAACAGACATGACTACTTTCAGCAAAGGCCTCAAGAGACTAAAGAGAGGAGAAATGACTCATTGAGCAGAGAGGCTGTCTTTGAAGCACAGTCAGAGAAGAAACAATTGGTTAGTGCTGGACAGATTGACAGTCACCCCAGCCCAGAAAGGTACCTTGCAGCTAAACCTACTAAAGGCATCATGTGAGGTTGCAAAAGACTCCCAAGAAACACAACATAGGATAGCATAGCATACCCTTACTTTCTTTAATATTCTCTTTTAAGGGCATAATAATTGAGAACAACAATTTCCTAGCATTTTGAAGCTTGACTAAATCTGAAAAGCCAAACTAAAAGTAGTTGTTGTTAGTTGAATATACAAATGCATTATGCAGTACCGTATTCCAGGCTTCAAAGACTATGGTCTCTGCCCTTACTGCTGATACCTATAAAACTCTGTAGCTGAAGGAAAAGCTTCTGCTATCATGTAATTAAAAGCTACAAGCAGCAGTGGTAATTGTCTGTGAGATAACTATTAGAACACTGAGTTAGAATAATCTGTTCTAAATATTTATCTTACAGTAAATATTAAAAAGAAGACAAGCTGTTATACTCCCCTTGTAAGCAGAGCTCACAAGGTAGCAGCAAGATCATGAAGAAAAAGCACTTGTTTAGAAAAAAAACACACCGAAAAGTCATTGTTGATAAATAAGGCCTTTTAACTGTTTGGTTTGGCTATCAATAATAATGTGACGCAAGTACATAGTGATGTTTATTAAATAAAAGCTTTCATTTCCTTTCATCCATATTCTAAATTAACCCCTCATCCTAAATTTGAGTCTCTGTAAGTTGTCTTGTTTGTATAAGTACCTAGATAAGAAAACATTCTGAGAATTTTTTAAAAGATAAATGAACAATTATTACAGGATTTTGGTCATGACCTGGGAAGCAATCAGTCATTTCTATGACTTTATAGTGAAAGGTAGTAGGCAGCTATAGTTCATTTCTGAATACAGTATCACCAATTTCTTCATTGAAAGGAATATAAACATACTGTTTATTAGCTGCAATATTATTGGTGTGTGAGCATTATTGGTGTGTGAGGCATAAGAAGGATATAAATTTCATGTTGGTCACAAAGTCAAAAGCTGCCCTGACTTACGGAACAGACTTTTTCTCTCAAAAATGAATACTTGCCAGTGAGAAACTCTGATCATGAAAATGAATCATTCTTCTAACATAACCCCAATGCAACTCAGGAAGAAAAGAAGGACACTCTCTTATCAATTCAGGTCTTATGGGAAATACACAGAATTATTCCATGAGTGAGTTTCTCCATTGTCAGATGGAGAGAGTTTATGCTTGCATGCCTCTTTTTATGTATCTGACAATATGAGATGCCAGAGATAATTTATACTATATGGAGAAAATGATCATGAGTTTACAGCTCTTTCTGGAATGGAATTTCAGTTAATTGGATCTTAGGGACATACTAGAATCTATCAGGCCTTGACACAGTTTGAAAGTCATTGCTGATGTAGTACACAATGCTGGTGCAATGGTGAAGTTCTTGAACACCACAGTTTTCATTATTTGTGAAAGTGGGCAGTGCTGTGTTATCAAAGGATCTTGGGGTAATTTTTGAACTTTGGAAACCCCTAATTTGATCCCTTGATGCAGTGGAATACAAATTCTGTCACCCTCATCAGCCAGGCCACAGTAGCTGAGGCTGATGAGAGTTGTTGTTCTACACATCTAGAAGGCACACAGTTTGTGCCTGGTAGTTCTAACATTTTCCACTGCAACAAATCTGTGTACTAAATTCTCGACATGCAGAGCCCCTATGCCAGTAATGTTTCTCCCTCTCATGATATGTACATTACGATGACTGCATAAAGTACTGCATACAGTGTCAGTGCAGGAATACCGGTATGTTTTGCAATGAGGATACTCATAGTGATACAAAAAAGTATTACATTATGAATATGACTTTTGTTTCAGTTAGCTCCTAGTTTAGAAGAAATGTGCTTCACATAATCTTGCTTGATGAAAACTAATCCACAAAGTATCAGCAGACTTGTATGTGTATATCATTAGAATTTCCAATGTTAATGATGACTTGCCATGAAATTGTAGGTAAGTTTCCATTTTCAAAAAACCTTAGATTGTATAACATGTTCTGTAGATGACTGTATACTATGTGATGGTACTTTAGATGTAGACTGTATAGTGCCAATAAACATCATTACAGTGTCCTCTCTTTCTGTAATATGTGCTGGTGATGTTTATACAGTACTTCTTTTCCCACTTTCAAAGCAGGGACAATGGAAACAGAGATAAAACACTTGGCTATCAAATGAAAGTACTGTAATTGTATCTGAATTTCAAGTATCTGATTGTAACTGACTTGCCAAAATGTTTTGCCCTTTCAATGAGCTCATGTCACTCTTTTGTCTTCCACAGCCTTTCCTCCATGCAGTCACCTGTCATGAGAAAGTGGTGGTTGTCCAAAAAGATAATACAGATTCCTTGGGGATGACTGTGGCAGGTGGTGCGGGCACCCACCGGGAATGGGATTTGCCCATCTATGTAATGAGTGTTGAACCAGGTGGCGTTATCAGCAGAGATGGCAGAATCAAAACAGGTAATGATACTAGCAGAATTCAGGGCATACTATTAGGTGGGAATCAAAAGCATGAGTCACATTATTATTTAGTTGTTTAGTTGTGTCCGACTCTTCATGACCCCATGGACCAGAAAGCATGCCAGGCCCGCCTGTCTTCCACTGCCTTCTGGAGTTGGGTCAAATTCATGTTGGTAGCTTCAATGACACTGTCCAACCATCTCATCCTCTCTCGTCCCCTTCTCCTCTTGCCTTCACACTTTCCTAACATCAGGGTCTTTTCCAAGGAGTCTTTGTTTGTCCTCGCTTTCCTCCCAAGAAGCAGGCGTCTTTTAATTTCCTGGCTGATGTCACCATCTGCAGTGATCATGGAGCCCAAGAAAGTAAAAGCTGTCACTGCCTCCATATCTTCCCTTTCTATTAGCCATGAGATGATGCGGCCAGTGGCCATGATCTTAGTTTTTTTGATGTTGAGCTTCAGACCAGTTTTTGCACTCTCCTCTTTCACCCTCATTAAGAGGTTCTTTAAGTCCTCCTCACTTTCTGCCATCAGAGTGTATTATCTGCATATCGGAGGTGTTGATATTTCTTCCGGCAATCTTAATTCCGGTTTGGGATTCATCTGGTCCTGTCTTTCCCATGATGTATTCTGCATATAAGTTAAATAAGCCGAGGGACAATATACAACCTTATCGTACTCCTTTCCCAATTTTGAACCAATCATTGGTCTTGCTGGAGGTGTATAAAAAGAACGGTACTGGTGTTGTCTACATACACCCATGTTTTACCCTCTCGTTGTTTGCCTTTGGATGACAGCCTGGAACTCCCTACATAAAGGGCTGTTTCAGACTAATTTTAGAGTGGCTTTTTTGGCCATTGTTAGTATGCCTGAAATTGCTTCCCCCCCCCCCCAACAATGGTACATGTTATATTGCATGGCTTAAACTTTGCTTTCATCACTGTCTGGACTTTTGATTGGTTTTCTATGATGTCCAAATTACAGCCATTCTTGGGTCAACTCAAGGAACCTTCCTATTTTAAATTGCAATGCCAGATCTAAAAGTGACATATTCCAGTGTCAATGGAATGGGATTCCCAGTTAAACAAAGGCAAATCCAGAGCATAATAAAACACAAGAACCCTGACAAATTGATGATGCAAGAAACCCATCACAAGGGGAACCATCTTATAGCTAAATCCAGCTCCTGTCATTCAGCTTCACGTTCTTCTTAACCATGCGGATTACTCATTGCCTTCTCCTCATGGATAAATTTCCAGTGCAGAGAAAAGACCTGAGAAGCAGGTTTCTCTTTTTAAAATGATCTATTGGCAATGTTAAATTAACAGTGGGACTCGGATATAAAATTAACAATGGGACCCATATATAAAGACCCAGGTGATTTCTTTTTTTTGTATATCTTGTCAAAACGATTTGTCTTCAGGGAGGGTGAGATCCTGCTTGGGGTGACCTTAATATAATTCCAAGTGCCTTGGATAGTAGTACGAATAAAGCTCCACATCATGCTTCATTGCAACAACTCTTAAGAGAATTCAGTTTGATACGATACCTGGAGAGAACTTCACCCAGGTGAGAAGGACTACTCTTTCTTTTGCAAACATCATGAATCAAGGACAAATTATATACTGGTTTCCAATTCATTGAATGTATATCTCAGGTCATCACAAATTGGATCCCTAACAGCTTCCAATCATATGCCCCTCCAAGCGACATTTCATATTTTCAGGCCAAGACCTAAGCCCTTCTTATGGTCATTGATCCCAGTTTTACTGTGCCAAAAAGAAACTACAAAAAATGTTAAAAGATAATTGTGACCTATATAAAAGAGAACAATGCACCAGAAGTGCTTATCACTGTGTTGTGGGATGCTTTGAAGGTGGTAGAACAAGGCACATGTATTGCTGAATCTTGGCACTTAAAAAGAGTATCACAAACTACTGGGAACCAGCTTCTTTTTTTTTTAAAGATAAACCCCCTGGAAACTACATGAGGGAAAGAAAATCTGAACAGTTGCTAGAATTACCCCATAAAAGTTCTGTGTTTCAAACATTAGAGTTAAATAGAACATCCAAACTATTGCAATATGTCGATAAAAATATTACAAATTTGGCAACAGAAATTCCAAATTAAAACCACACAGGGCACTTGGTTTGGATGGCTTTGGTACTTGTTTCTATAAAATGTTTTAAGATCAGCTGTCACCTTTGCTCTTTAACTTATATAACTCAATTATGAATAGTTATCTAATGCCTCCCTTCCTGGAATTTAGCCCAAATAATATTAATCTACAAACCAAATAAGGATCCTGCAGAAGTCAATTCATAGCATTCAGTTACACAGCTCAGTCAAGAAAACAAATGGTTCTGAGGCAAACAGATTGAGGGAACCTGCCACAACATTTATTGAAAAAGATCAATTTGTCATCATAAAACAGAGACAAATCTCTGATCCATTCAGAACTGTTCAGCATTATATATCATAGTTTTTTAAAAAATAAAACAAAACACACTCCATTGCATCATTTGATGTCAATAAAACTTTCAATAGCTTGGAATGGCATTTTATTTATGAAGTATATGAAGCCATGAAAATGTGTTTGTGTGTGTCCTTTCCTAAGAATATTGTGTATATTGTATGATAAACATCAAGCCATGGTGAGACTCAGCTATATATGTTGAACCTATAAATATCACTAGGGGGACTAGACAAAGTTGCCCACTATCTCCTATAAATTTTGCATTTGTAGTTGAACCATTAGTCAGTGTCATGGGGACAGATGCAAATTATTCAGAGAGTCTTTATTGAAGGGCAAAAATGTGTGATAAACTTATGTGCAGATGACATTGCCATTACAGTATCTAAACCAGACAATTCTCTTCCACATTCTTTAAGAATTCTTGAAGAGTTTGGTCTGGCTTCAGGGTTGAAGATTAACTTAGGCAAATCTAGGATTCTGGTACTTAACATGACTTCTGCTGATAGTAAACATTTATCTGACCTCACAGATGTTCCCTCAATCAGCTCCTCAATAAGATACTTAGGAGTTACGGTTCCCTCTCAAATAACTAAAATTAATACCTTCTTAAACTCTAAACCACTGATACATCTAGTTAAATATATATATGCATCTAATAAGAACATTATCTGGGTGATTTATGATGATAAAATGAAATATTAAAATTACAGAACATAAAACCAAAGCCATAAATTACAGCATGAAACACATTACAAATCCAACTAAAGCTGGAGGCAATATAAGTCTCACTTGTGAAAAGAGACATTCTGATCCATCACAATTCGGAGGTACTGAAAGAGCCTCCATCCAAAAACACTGTAAAATGCTACTAAAACTTATAAGTGGTTTATAGAAGGAAATTATAGCATAATTTTATAGTTTCCAGACATTTGGCAACATCACGGGCAGCATTTAAGTTTTGTTCTTTAAAAAGAACATTTATGTTAAAGCACGCAAGTAATACTTAAACCATCACAGATTAAATCAGGTTTTAAGACTTCAACTACAAGTGAGTAATGTTTACTTTCTCCATAGGTGATGCCAGAGGTGATACAGTTTATAGGAATTCTGGTCTGAGACCATAACCTTGATTGATAGATTTTGTTTCATGGCAAAGTACAATTGTGGATTTTTGAGTTTGAAAAGTATTGTAAGACAGTTCAGACGGGTATGTTCCAAACAAATATGTTCATTGCTGTGAATATTCTGCAAAATCCTGACTCTGACTCATCTGTAGTTACTGGCATGGCCATAAAAAGTCTTATTTGACTCGGAACAGACAATGGCCAGATGTGCCTCCAAGGAAATAGTTATACTTTCTGAATTACTGTATTAAGTATTATGAAAACTCCCAGTCACGGCATCAGGGTTGTTCTGTATCCATTAAAACCAAAACAAAATCTAAGTCCAATTGTAGCCATGTAAATAACCGCCCTTGCTAATTCCACTCACAGTACAGTGGTGCCTCGCTAGACAGTTACCCTGCCTGACAGTTTTTTCGCTAGATGTTGGCTTTTTGCGATCGCTATAGCGATTTGCAAAACAGTGATTCCTATGGGGGAATTTTGCTGGACAATGTTTGGTCCCTGCTTCGGAAACTGATTTTTGCTAGACGATTTTGACAGCTCCCTCCGCACTCGCAAACAGGTGTTTTCGGGATCTAAGCTTCGCAAGACAGCGATTTAAACAGCTGATTGACGGTTCGCAAAGCAGCTTTCCTATGGCCGGTCTTCGCTAGACAACGACAATTCTTCCCCATTGGAACGCATTAAACAGGTTTCAATGCATTCCATTGCGGAAATGCTTTTCGCTAGACAATGATTTCGCTAAACAGCGATTTCAGTGGAACGGATTATCATCGTCTAGCGAGGCACCACTTAGTGCTATTAGAGTCGTTCTCAACCCTGCTTCACAACACTCTTCTCAAGGAGAGCTTCTTTTGTTTTCTGCTCCAAATTTTTCCTGTGAAAAGGGGGGTTGGGTGATCAAGAGCTTGGAAAACTGTGCAAGTATGGTGTAATAGTTACTAGAATTTGAACTGTGTCAAGAGAGATGCAGGTTCAAATTCCAATTCAGCATTGAAACTTAATGGGAAAACCTCTGCCCACCACTAGCTTTTAGCCTAACCTACCCCAGAGGGTTACTGCAAAGTCATAGGGAATGAGTGAGCAAAGAACTGCTAGAGCCTGTTTTGAAAGGTGGGCAGACCAATAAAAAAAAAATACACTGAAGTTCTGTTGTCACTTACCTGGGCATAAGCCCCATTGACCACAATGGGCTAAATCCAGTTCTTAGTCACAACTATAGAAGATCTGTTTAATGAGTTAGACTGTTAAATAAACACTTAAGCAACTCTCATTGATTTGGTGGCCAAAATCCTATTGTGTAATTTTGCATTGCCATAACTATGATGGGGGAACTAATAATAATTAATTTAAGTTGGTGTAAAACTTCCTGCCCTCCCAATGTTTCAGCTTCTGAGACTCCCTAGGGCTCCTTTTTGCTCCTGGAAATGCTCTGTGAGCATCAGGATGGGAGGGAAGCCTTTAATAGTTAAAACAATCACTGCTGGGTTGATCTGGCAGCTGTTTGTTTACTTTAAACTTCCCCCCCCATAAATACTGGTGCTGTGGTCAGAACAGTGTGAAATATGTTATGTCTAAAGAAGAGCCACTGTTCAAAACAATTGAAGACAGATTGGGACAACATAGGATACAATTAACCCATGCCATGTTACAAGACATGACAAGGGGGCTTTCAGAATTTTGGTATCTTCTTCCAGAATATTGTCTGCATGGCTGTAAGGTGGAATGGACAACGGACACTGGTGGACTACAGCTTTGACCTTCATGTAATGCTGGTTAAAGCTGATGGGGAGTTGCTATCCAACAACATTTGGGGGACAATGTATTCCCGTCCCTTTCCTATGGGTATATGCTGTTCGTAGTCCTTTATAGAGTGATTCTTTGTACGTCTAATCAGAAATAGTTATCAGAATTGTAGCCCTGTTTGTCTGTACAAGCATTTCAGCAAGAAACACAAAACAAAAGCAAGCAAGCAAGAAGGAGAAAGAAAAGATGTTGTGGCAGACTAAAGATTAACTGCTATATTTTAATGTAAAGTCTCATTGACCATCACCCACTTCTCATGTATTCTTAGATTTTTTTAAGGTTTTGTTTTTGTTTCTTCCAAAATAAATAAATATTTTTTAAATAAAGAAGCCCAAGCAATTGCTCCTGGGCTAGAGCCACCCAGTAAGCTGCTTGGCAAGTCCTGGAGCAGTGGTACAACTTTGAATGAGAAAGTATGTTCTGTTTATCCCTTTTCCTTTCTTCTGCTTGCCTCCAGGAGACATCCTGCTCAATGTGAATGGAATTGATCTGACATGTGTCAGCCGTGGGGAGGCAGTAGCCCTTTTGAAAAACGTTTCCTCCTCCGTTGTCCTCAAAGCACTAGAACTGAAGGAGTGTGAGACCTCAGAAGATGGGAGCACAGGTTCATTGCACGATGCTCCTTCTAATACGTCCAGTCCCAGCGAGTGGTCCCCTTCCTGGGTCATGTGGCTGGAGCTACCACGGTGAGTTCAGGGAACCCATGAAAAAGACGGGAAGGTAAAGTTCCTGGAGCTTAACTCCAGACCATCCAAAAACTTCATAGCAAATATCTCCTCCTCCATATATAGAGAGAAAGAGAGAGAGGACACAAGAGTCGTCTTTCCGGGGGTGGTGGTGGAGGAAATGATTTTGAACAGGCCTGTTTTGCAAACGTGTCTGGCCATTCAGGATGTGAGGGGGATCTTGTATGGAAGAAAAGCTCTTGGAATAGAGATCTGGGATCCTGGACCACCCTGTATCCGACCAAACTACCCTTGCAGCTTGCAGTTTGAGCAGACACCACTTTAGCGAGATGCTATTTTAAATTGTTTGTCTTTGCCCAGATGTTCAAGAGCTGCAGGGGTGGGGAGCTAGAGAATGAAGTTTTCCAAATTGCTTTCCCCCCTACCCAGGTCCTGCTCTGAAAAGAATAAGGGGGGGGGGAGAGGGAGAAAAGAATATGTTCTTTTCTAATGGGCCGGAAGCAGCTGTGTTGTAATTTTTAGTTAAAATAACAAAAACCGGACTATGTACGTAGTTTGTCACCCACTCGCATACTACATTTTGCTGTCTTGATAGGATGTAAGCCTGCCCACATTGCAACATTAATCTGAACCTGGTTTTTTTTAAAAAAAAGATACTGCCGGGATGACACTGAATTAAATCTACCGTCAATGAAAAATCCAAGAAATAAAACTCACAGACCCATAAGGGACTTGAAAATCTCTTGAACAGTTTTGCACACTTAACTTCTGTTTTTTACAATCTCTATTTATCCAAGTATTTTAGACTATATTCAGCTTAATTATATGGAAGACAGAATGCTTATGTTACACAAACCAGTTACAATTAACTGCATATAAGTTAGACTTTTCCATTAATGTTCTGGGGATTTCTAGGGCTACTTGATTTTATTTATTAAGGATTTCTCAAATAGAAGCCAAACACTGATAGCCACATTTTTTTGACATAGAATATTCTCTCACCCCAAGTAATGATTCTGGCCAGTGTTTAGCCTCTGTTTAGTGTTAAGGCATACAACTTGGACAGCTTTTTAAAAAGGTTAGATAAATTCATAAGGAAAATAATTGTCCATAGCTACTAGCCATGTCCAGTCTCAGAGGTTGTATGTATCTGAATATCTGCTGCTGTGGATCATCCTCAGTGTGATGCTATCGCACGCATGTCCAGGTTATGGACCTAAGTGACATAGACATGGTGATATTCACTTCAGGGACATAATGAAGTTCTCTGAATAATATATTTTAAAGAATGTGGCGTTGACTTTTAAACAGTTTTAAACCCTGAACAGTTTGGGACCCCACTAGCTGGCAGAGCACCTCTCCGTGAGATCAACTACCCATGCCATTCACACCTCTCTGGCTTCGATGGCTACCCTGAGGGAGGACAGGATGTCCATGACTAGGTGGTCATGTGATAAAGCAAGAAATTATTGGGTTAAAATTCATATGTGGATTAAACAAATGTCAAAACAGGAAACAGAATTCAAACCAGAAATATTTTTATTGGGATTATTGACAAATAACATAAATGCACAAAGCCAATACTTAATACTGCATGTTTTGACTGCAGCTAGATTAGCATGGGCACAGGTCTGGAAGGAGGGAAATCCACCAAAGGATGACATGATCATTAAGAAAATACTGGAATGTGCAGAAATGGGCAGATTAACAAATCAACTTTCTACCTAAACTGGAATTTTTTTTAATGACTGGTGGAAAGCAGAAAAAAGTGCATCAATAAATAAGATTGCTTGTAGGTTAAGCTTATATTTTATGTTTTCACTTTATGTAGGATGTTTTATTTATATGTTTATAAGTTTTATGTTGGAAAGTAAAAGATATATAATTTAAAAAAGGAAGTCCATGACTAGGAACAGGGTCTTCTCTGTGGAGAACTCTGGCTGTAGAGATGAGCCAAACCCTTTCCCTTGTAATATTCAGAAAGCAAATAAAAACTCTTTTCTCAGAGAGTCATTCCAGGAGATCCTCCCTTTATGATTTGTTTCTGATTTCGTTGTATTCATGGGTATTATATTTTGTAGTTGGTATCTTGTCCATTACCAGCATCTTGGAGTGTTGCTGTCCTTTTATATTTTTATATTACTATACTTAGTGAGTTGGGCCGAGGATAGGATTTTTAAAAAATCTTTACTCACTGTTGGAAATCACCTAAAGTAGTGGCTTGCCACTAGATGGTGTGGTATAGAAATAAAATAAAATAAGATAAGATAAAGTTCTTAAAGAACCTCAAAGAAATATTTTGACATGAAAAAGTCAACCATGAATTCATGAAAATATTCATTTCTACCTTGGTGGCTTGCATAGAGATATGCACACTGGTGTATTACCACCCAACTGTGTTTTGTTCATGGCCACTCTTAAGATAATTGTCACAGTTTAAGTTTTAACTTCTCTCTAACCCCATAGGTTATAATCTCCCACTCACTCACCCGGTTGTATGCTAATCTGCCAACTAAAGGAACCTTTTCATGCATCTGATGAAGTGAGCTGTAGTCCTTGGCAGCTAAAAACAAAGAAACCAAAGGAGTGTTTGTTGTTTATGCCACAGCAGACTAAGACAACTATCCTTTTGGAAAATCTGTCATCACAGTACAGTTCATATAGGCTATAGATGGGCTGGGGGCCTTTACCTGCCTGCCTTCAACTTGCTGGGGAGAAGCATATTAAAGTCATGTGATGTTTATTAGATTTTACTGATCGTGTAGAAAATGAAGTGTCTTGTCTGGAGCTGGAGAAAAAAATCCCACAGGAAAAGATTTGCCCTCTTAAAGCCAATGACAAATTGTGATGGGGTTCCTTCTGCCGTTTCAAAGCTCTACAGCCACTCCTGTTCCCTTGTCCTTACATGCCACTGTAGCCTCTTTTACTAAAGGAAAATTACCCACCATGTCAGCAGGTCTGCAAACAAGAAATCCATTGTAATTATATCTCCAGCTGCAGCACTACTCGCAAAAAAGGGCACAGTGTATATGAACACCAAAGGGGATTAGTATGCTGAACTAGTACACTTCTCTTCTTAAATTCAGATTAAGGGGCAGAGGTGGGTGGGAAGAAAGTCTAAAGCAGATTATTATGGACAGGAACAGAGGGTTTGCTGTTTTTATTGTTTTGTAGTATCTGTTTGGCCAGGTACAGGAATCACAATACTGTATAGACTTTGTCCCTTAACAGAATAGGCAGTCAATTACGCTAATCTTATCTAGTGAGTTTTATTGGTTGTCCTGTTTCTGTTTTTTACTCTGAGCTTTCCACTCCACATCTGGAAGTCCTTTAACAGGTCCTTTCACCAGGACATGCATCACATTAATACACATTAACTCATTTCCCCCTTGTCTGAGAATGTAACCTTTTGGGACAAGAGTTCCCAGTTGGTGCTGGCAAGGGCAGCTGCCCAGGAGTTCTTAAGGAGTCGGATGGGCCGCAAGAATGTTTCTTTTCGAACACCTTCTTGCAGTAACCAAACTGTCTTAGGGAAAGAGCGATCCTAACTCATGTCCTAAGGCTAGAAATGGTTTGTGAATATATTCCCGTGCTTATCGGAAATGTATTTGTCATCTTTCCAAAGCCATAATTAAATTAGTATGCAAGCTCTTAAAACAGCAGCAAGTCAATGCAAGAATACTTGAGGATGTGACTACACAGTGAGGAAAATGTGAATTAACTCAAATTCGCGCTCTTTGTGAAGTCAAACTGGGGTATTTGATTCCCTTCAATTTAAGTTGAACTTAAATTGGAACTGCATTAAGAAGGCTGATCATAGGGCTTGTTAAATTATAATCAATCAATCAATAAAATAAACAAGAGCTCTGTCCAAGGAGAAGCTGTTTAAAAATTTTTAAAAAATGTCTTGGAACAAGAGGCTTTGCAGAGAGAGGGGATTGCTGATACTGCCTCTGTGTGTACATGTGGTTGAAGCAAACCAGCACAAACCACCAAAGTGGCAGTTTGTGCCCATCTCTAGTTCAAAGTGATCACATGCTTTGAATGAAAGCAAAAGGATTATTTTTTTTAAGTAGAAGAGTCTTGGGTAGGGAGGGACAACTGTGTATTGGGGTCATGGGACTCTAGGCTGATCCACATCTCCCATTGTGTCAGGTGGTCAACAGGAAAACTGTGAATTACACAATCCCCAAACCCTAGTATTTCTTGCCTTTCCCTCCATACAGTCAGGATCTGAGGGAGCTGGAGCTGGGCAAAGGAAATGATGAATAGGATGGGAGAGCAGAGGTTAGGATGCATGGGATGGGAAAGTCAGAAACCAACTAAAAGAAGAAATAACAAAAAAGACTACTTTTTCTGTGCCCTTCCACGTGTACCCTTCCGCTTGCACTAGCCTTGGCTTGCACTGCATTTTTTAGAAGTTGCTGGGATCTTGTCATTGGGACTTGGCATGTCAGTCCAGGGACAGTGTTACCAGCTAATCCTTGGTGGAGATGAATGGTTGAATGTAACATATGCTTCTCCAAATTTGGTATTCTAGGTCAGTATACATCTGTTACTGGAATAAATGTACAGCCATCACAAGGAGTAGCCAGTGAGAGACTTCTTTCCTCTATGTATTAATAATAATCCCTTTTAAAGCCATCCAAGCAGGCTGCTCTCACTTCACCCCATGATAGTGAATGCCTTTGTGTATATGCCACGTTAAGAAGTATCTCTTGTACTTTTTACAGTTTAGGCAGTGCAATCCATTAAAAGCAAAAGCAAACCTAAGTCCAATTGTAGTCATGTAAATAACTGCCCTCACAGTAGTGCTATTAGAGTAGTTCTCAACCCTGCTTCACAACACTCTTCTCAAGGAGAACTTCTTTTGTTTTCTGCTCCAAATTTTACCTGTGAAAAGGGGGTGATCAAGAGCTGGGAAAACTGTGCAAGTATGGTGCAATGGTTACTAGAATTTGGACTGTATCTGGCAAAACTTCTGTCTTCCCGTCTTCTCC